TTTGAAAGCCTTCAATTTAAAAAAGTCTTTGTCCTGGCCTGCCTGATTGTATCAGTGCAAAGCTGGTCCTTGTGGGTAAAGCAAGAGGAATCAGTCACAAAAGTACAAGACAGTCATTTTAAAGATCAATGACTAATTACTTCTGTTACAGGACATAAAAACAGTAGAAATAGCCATAATTTTTTAACACTGTTTTTTTTTCAATTGCACATAATGTAAATTATATGAAATTCATTATTAAAAATAATGAGAAAAATATATTTGTTTTGACAGCTATATATTTGAAAACAGCTTCAATTTTACTTTTGTATAAAATACATTGAAAATCATTAATAAAATGGTTTAGGAAAATAATTCAATTGAATATTTGTTTGTTGCGCACAAAAGATGTTCATGAAATTGATCTGCAATTATTTATCACTGAAATCACAGAATTAGGGTGTAGAGTTATTGGTCAAACGTATTTTTGGTTCAAAAGGCAATTTAATGGCGGATTTTAATCACTGTCATCTTTTTACAGCAAATACACAAAATCCAGTGACAAAAGAGTCCAAATCCAAGGTCACAGCAACTGACTTTACCTTCTGTCAATTGAATGCTGATTCTATTTATATTTGGTGTGATTTACACACAGTTTCCTGCATGCAAGTGAACAGGAAACAGATGCTAGGAATTGTTCTGTCCCTAAATTCCTCAGAGAGAAATTCTCATCAACACCAACACGTGAGACTGGCTTTGTACTCGCATGCGAAAAGGTAGTAGACAGTGACTAAATTGACTCCCTGGTTTCCCTGCTCTGAATCTCCATTTCCTCAGAGTTTCCACTTGCGTACGTCCGTCTGCCCAAACCCAGGTTATGGCCGGCAAGCTCCCCCAGAGGAGCCCTGGAGCCAGTTCTACGCCTTCTCAGGACAAGGTCAGCCTTAATGCTCCAGGCACAGTAGGCAGTGGGAAGTAGCAATTGTGAAGAGCATTAAGTTCACAGCAACGTTTTAGTGACTAATCAAACCCAGACATGACCTGCTTAATTTCAGATAATAAAGGAGGCAAATGTAAAATATTGTGCTATTACTCTCTTCAAATATTCCAAAAGTCGTTCATCAGTGTCTGAAACTGATCAATCATTTTTGCAACAGTGTCCCTCAAAGGGGATATTTCCATTCAACAGCTAACAGCCCAATAATGAAAATGTATCCCCTAACATTACATTAATTATGAAAACTAACACAACAACTATAATTAGGGTTTGGATTATTGCAGATAATCAAGTACTCATTTGACACAAGGGGAAACACTGATTTCATATAAAAGATTTTGACATTTACAAAGTGATATGTTTTGCTAATAAATGGCCAACCTTTTCATGGACCATGGCGCCATCTAGAGGATATTGAAAACAAAAAGATAGTCCATTACAACAGGCCTTAACCTGGGAGGTCATGGTTTTAGTTGAGCTGTTTGCTTTGTGCAGATTCAATGTGTTGTGTATGAGAATGTTTGATTCAAAGGTCCTCTGTAAAAATAAACTCAAATATATTTTTTTATGTGTGATCCTGTCACCTGAGCATTGTAATCTGGTGCCACCTACTGTTTGACCACTTCCGAAAGAGCAAAAAAAAAGTACAAACAGAGAGGATGCTGTAAAAATAATCCGATTCAAGTCATTTAAAAAAAAGGCAAATGACACAATGTAATTATAAATACAATACTTCAACATGTCTTTGTGTCACTATATTGTGTGTTTTCACCTTCCGCCATCTCATAAGAGCGAAGTCGGAATTGGTTCAGTTTCATGTCATCCTTTACTTTACAATGATTTGCATCTACTGGCCCCTCCCTTAAAAGATTTACCATGCATGACATTTTTGCTGACGTGATTCTCTTCGGTCTCTTCTTAGATATATGGCGAGCCATAATTTGGAGGTGTAAAATGGATATAAAACCCGCGTTAATTATTTAATCGTGGTTCTACGGTAAGTGCTGCCTTTTAGCCCAGACGAAGATGTCATCCCCCTCTATTTCAGAAGGTCGTTATATCACTCATTTGTCAAAGAAAGAAGTTACAATCACGACAGAGATTGTACAGTTTTATGGTAAATCAGGGCAGACCAAGACTTTTTATGAGCATCATTAACTAATAATTTCATTCCTTTTTTACTTCAGCTGATGTAAATGAACTGGTAATTGCATTTAAATCCTATTTTTCTTGCACTGGTCCAAGTTGAAGTCCTTGCATACCCAGATCTGATGAAAACACAAAAGTTAAAAACAAATCAATACTATCTTCAACGGATTCTTTAAATGCCTTTTTTTAAAGTAAAAGCAGATGCAACAAGCACACAGAATCGAAATGTCCATGAAAGGCAGCGGTGTGTGGGACCAGTGATATATCTTTGTGTCAAGGGGCAGTTAGGTACAAAGACTGAGGGGTGTGATCAACAACCAAGCAAACACATTGTCCTGAAGTGAGGGCGAGGAGGTGTACACAGAGCATCCATCAAACTACATCTGTGAGAGGCTGATACTGCTCTGTTTACCCTCACTCTGCTCACTTCGCTCAGCTCATCTTCTCTCTCAGCTGTAAGATTCTGCCACGGTGATTGCTTAGCGTTAGTTCATTGTGGTCACAAGTGTTTTAGGAATATAATTACACCTGGTGCTCAACGCAAGAAAGGAAAGAAAACATTTCCCCCCAACAGCAGGTTTCATTACGCCTACTTGAAGGCTTACAAGTTAAAGTCAAAGTTGCTCTGAATAATTCAACCATAAGAGCATTTTCTCCCTCATCCTAAGATTTCTGTCCTGTTAGGATAAAATCATTATGCATTCGGATTTTCTCCTCAAACAGATTTTACTAAATCATTTACGTATATAATTGTTCTAATCATTAAATTAAAGTGGACCTGTAAAATGTGCTATGTGTAAAAATGTTTTCATTGGTGCAGAATGGCTCATGTTAGTGTTACCTCCATTGTATGCTTTCACGTTATTGAATTATCATTACTTGGACATTGATTAACGTTACATCTGATCAGGTTGCTAATTCTCTTCATGTCCTTTAATGCTGAGTAGTTCCGCCTTCTCCAAGGGCTCACATTTTACAAGAGCAAAATTTTGCATATGATACATTTCACCAACAACCAGTAGTTTGGCACTCACACCTTTAAAATGTTGTTCTGTGCGTATTTTGGTAAAATAACATTATCCACAAGCAAATTAAAAATACTATCATAAAAAAAGAGTCTTTTTTATCACATATTGAACTGTATAGTTGAAATGTTTATAATTTCAGTAACAACAAAGCTGTAATGTCTGTGTATTCAGAGGTCCATTAGTTTCTAAATCTATGCCAGTTGTCCACGTGAATGTATGATATATTGTAATGTCTGTTGGATTTCAGTGCCATTTCAACACATACAAAGGAAAAAAAAACAGACAACATAAAACGAGCAGGAAATTTGGTTTACATTCCAGACCATCTGCTCAAACTCAACAGCAGTGGCTGGCACAGACTCCAGATAAGTGTCACATTTGGCCTTCCTGCACACACATATGAAGCAGGATCCAGTCTAAAAAGTGAAAGACAATTTACACATTTACACAAAAAAATGGAAATATTACATAAGTAAATATTTTTGCTCCAGGTATATAAAAAAGAAAAAAAAGTATGGTACTGCAAAAAACATGTACCAGCTTCTGTAAGAATACAGTATTTGGAGCAGAGTGAAATGTAAAAATCGCTGGCTTGCTCTTGGATTTGAACTATGGACTGATCATAAATACACATCATTAACAGTGTCAGAAAATATCACCTTCTTTTATTGGGGCAGTATTTTCCTCACATACTACAATAAAGTTAATGACAGACATTGTCTAGACCATAAAGCTGTCATATACTTGGAGATGCTGATCGGCATCACTGAAGCAAAGAAGCATCTGGCTCACAGATCATACTTGCCCAATTATGGAAGTGTGCAATTACAAAAATATGAAAACGATTTAAGTATTGTCTGTCGTGATCTGAGGAGGTGTGGTTTAGAAATGCCTGTTCAATCTCTACCAGAACACCAGCATGCAATGGCAGACAGAAAAAGCAAAAAACTATAAAGTTAACATGAATGTGGCACTTAGAGTGCATGATGACATGAATTATGTTTAATGTGCAGGTGTTTATCCTTGTTGACACTGTATATTAGGTGGGTGCATACGCCACATTATTGGCTACGAGTGCATGCATACTCATTCTCTTGGTCAGTATAGTATCACAGACTGCCCGTACAGCAATGTTTTAGTAAGGTGAGAGTCAACTGGACTGGTGTAAGAAAACCAAAGTAGTCACAGGGATTGCATGCATACTCCACACAGAAAGACTGAGATTCAAACCAGGACCCTTCTTGCTGTGAGGTGACAGCTCAGACTGCCCCATCACTCTGTAGGCCATCACACAGCATGTGCAACACAAACACTTTCTAAAGTAACAGGAACACAGGCTGAGTTTATGATTAGGGTCACGGAGGGACTTGAAGGACGATATTGGCATAAAAAAGCCTATTCACACCCGTGAAGATTTACTGCACTTGAATTACATTGAGTAGGGTCCATAACAGCAGCTCAAAGCCTAAATAATTGCTGTAAAACGTTGGATTGGGTTTAATCAGATCACAGCAAATAAAAAGGAATTAAGTCCAATACTGTTGCCGGCTCCACTGAACACAATTGGGGAGGGACACAGTATCATAACAGTGTAATTAGATAACAAAGAAATATATTTTTTCAAAAGCAGATCATTTATGTGTAAGATATGTTCAAGTGTAAAGTGTTGATACTGAATCAGTAGGCAACAGTCCAGCCTCCTGTGTTTAGAATTCCCCACTATCTCTTCTGACAAACTTATTTTGACAACAAATAATCCAATTTTTTTAAGTTTTCACTTCCTTTGGCCTGAGATCCTGATGAGTTCAAATTGTTCCGGTCGTGTTCTGTTTTGGACAGTAGATGGCGTAAATCTCCAGCTGTAGTACACGCCTCGAGGTAAAAAGGTTACGTGTTGGTGAACAAAACAGCGTAGAATGCCCAAACTGATGCGTCATAGCGTGCATGCATGAATCTTGGGGTCTTTCATTCGCTGTGGCTTGAGTTTTGATCGGGATTTGGTTATCATAATCAGCAGTCAAGCATAGTTTGTCACGTGACATCCTCACATCTCTTCCAATGGACAGCTGCGAAATGGAGGTGAGATGCTCAAACTATCACAAATTAAAAACGCTCATGCATATATCCAGGAAATCCGTGGTCATTGTTTCTAAGTTCATTTTAAAAGTGGTCGTAATGTGCATTTCAGGAAAGAGCCATTCTTTGCTCCTGAATAGCTCATGAGGACTGAGTAATGCTAGCATCAGCTAACGCTGCAGCTAGGCTAATGGCTGTGTAAATCTACTGTCAGCTAACCAGATGGTGTGTCTAAGTCGCAATAGTAACAGTAGCTTTGGCTTAATTTAAATGACAGACCCACTGTGCGTTAAAGTGTATTACAGTTTTGATAACTACAACAGTTAAATGCCAAAGCTGTGCCTCCCCAGAAGTAAGCGCCGCTAGCTATCAAAGCTAGCTCAGGCTAAGTCCACTGAATTCAGAGCAGCCATTTTGACGTGAAATAGTAGGAAGGTAAATGCGAGTGACATGAATCACTTAAATTAAGGGTGTGTTCGTAAATAGAAGAGACCTGTCATAAATACAATTTACTGGCCCATGTTGGTGGGTAATATTTCACACCGTATGTCCTGGGTAGCATAAGCTGCGGCCCTGTGGTGGGTGGCTGCGTTCCAGGAATTAATTTGTTTCATTAAGCAGATATTTTCAATTTATGCTGCGTATGTGTCCGTGTGGCTGGTTGTACATTAAACGTGGGTTATTTTAGTGTAGAAACAAGGTGTTATCGTGGCTGCCAGTGGCAGGGGCGTTGCTGGACCCTCTTAGGAAATGTCACTGATGATGTGGGCGCTGGTCATTAAAGTTATTTTAAAGAGGCTAACAGCATGGAAATAACCGTGAGCTGTATCACCAAATGCAAGTGGTTGTGTTGTTAGTTTTATCCTTATGACTAGGATTTGTGGCAAACCAATATTTTGATACTGTACATTCAACTTAACACACCTATTTAGTGAATTTAAAGGGAAATAAAGTTAAGCAGTTACTAGGTTGTACACCAAAATCTTTATGCTGAAACTGTGTTTTTTAAGATTGTTTTATACTTGTATGTGTCTGCTAAATTGTTTCCAAAAGCTTTTTTGCTTCTGTTATATTCTTTGATCCTTCCTTTTTCACAGAACCGTGATGCGAAGGAGCCTGAACAGCTTAGAAAGCTGTTTATCGGAGGCCTGAGTTTTGAAACAACAGAGGAGAGCTTGCGTGCCCACTTTGAGCAATGGGGAACTCTCACAGATTGTGTGGTCAGTTTTAATTAATAAACTGTTGAACATTGGCATAAACAATAGATTTGAACTTAATTGTAACAGCAGTGGCTGCTATTGTTGTGTCGTGTCCAGGTGATGAGAGACCCAAACAGCAAGCGTTCAAGAGGCTTCGGCTTTGTAACATACTCTTCTGTCAGGGAGGTTGATGAAGCAATGAAAGCAAGGCCTCACAAAGTAGATGGCCGGGTTGTTGAACCGAAGAGGGCCGTGTCCAGAGAGGTAAGAATAAAAATCTACAACTTCTCAGCAGTTATTACTGCTGCATTGTTGGTGGGGCCAGTGCTTACTGATGCGCTGTGTTCTAGGACTCCAACAAACCAGGCGCGCATCTTACAGTGAAGAAAATATTTGTAGGTGGCATCAAAGAAGATACGGAGGAGTATCACATTCGGGAGTACTTTGAGAAGTATGGAAAGATTGAATGCATTGACATTATGGAAGAACGCTCAACAGGGAAGAAGAGAGGATTCTGCTTCGTCTCCTTTGATGACCATGACACTGTCGACAAAATTGTCGGTATGCAGCTGTTTTACATTCAGAATTTTTCAGTTGGAAACATAAAACTTGTGTGTGATGTATGCATTATTTGTTTTTTCCTTGTGTTTTCTTTTTAGCCCAGAAATACCACATAATCAACTTCCACAACTGTGAGGTCAGGAAAGCCCTGTCTAAACAGGAAATGAATGCGATGTCCAGTAACCGGGGTAAGCTTGTCAAATAAGAGGCATTGCTGTTATTGTGCGTGGCGTAGACAGCCGATAGTTCGCTCATGTAAAGTTCACATTTTTAAATGTTATATTTTAGGCAGGAGTGGGGGATCAGGGAATTTCATGGGAAGAGGTGGTAATTTTGGAGGTGGTGGCAACTTTGGTCGAGGTAGGTTGCGTTTCTGTGTCTGATGACGACATCTTTAGCCTAAACACATTTTGAATCATGACATATGATTTGCATATAAATTGAGAGGAGGGTGGCACCAAGTCTTTTTTTTTTTTTTCCTATTCAATTTTTAGATCTCAGTTCTCAAAGCAAATGTAGCAATAGTCAGGGGGGGAAAAGTTTGCAAAAAGATAATTTATGTTATCAGTTGTCTGTCTCCAGCTTAGTAACTCCCATCCCCTGTACAGTGGAGATTTATGTGCATTCATCCATTAGGAACAGACATGGTTGCAGCTGTTAGAAGGATTGGTCAATAAATTGTGCCGTTATCAGCAGTCTAAAGTATTACATTAATGATATTAATAAAGGTTGTCTGTAGGGTTTCCAAATGGCTGTTTATGAGTGGCAAGCCACTGCCCTGATAGGGAAAATGACGTTTAAAGAAAAAGCAAATAGGATGATATCCGTAGATACCTGGTTTGTATTTGGTTTGGAACGCTGCTATGCTAGTTTATCACCAAGTGCTACTGTTTATTTTACCCCCGTTATGTGTATTTAAAAAAAAAAGTGTTTGTCTTGAATAGAATTGTCAAACCAGGATACTTTTAGGATGCGCTGCTTATGTTTAGAGAAAGGTGTGATACGTGGCAGGGCCACATGACTACAAAGTGATCCATTTTAATCCACATTTGACTCTGCTTGTATGTCATAGGTGGCTATGGGGGAGGACGTGGGGGCTACGACAGTGATTTTGATAACGGTAAGCTGCAATGAAAACAGACTTTCAGAGTGTTCACAATGGAAAAAGTGCTCGCAAGCTCCATGACTGTAACCATCAACAGTTTGGTGGTGTGATGGCATTAATGACAAAATTTTGGGCTGTTTGTGTTTTTGTGTTTCTTGTAGGTCCAGGAGGAAATTATGGTGGTGGACCAGGCTATGGAGGTGGCCGTGGGGGTTATGGAGGTGGTGGTCCGGGATATGGCAACCAAGGTGGAGGATTTGGTGGCAACTGCGATGGTGGTTATGGTGGCAATAGTGGAGGTACGATTTTTAATAACTACAAAAGTTTGTCTTTTAAACAGAAAGTGGTGCCTCAAACTCAACTTCAATTTTCAGGTTATGGAGGCGGTAGTAATTACAACGACTTTGGAAATTATGGTGGACAGCAGTCAAGCTATGGTCCCATGAAGGGAAACAACTTTGGGGGCAGAAACTCAGGGGGTCCATATGGTGGTGAGTTTAAGCCTTCAAAATGCTGCGTGATAAGCAACAAAGAGAAGCGATCTTTATTTATGTTTTTCTCCTGAGAAATAACAAGAATGTTATCTGCAGGCGGCTATGGCTCTGGTGGCAGTGGTGGAGGCTATGGCTCACGGCGGTATTAATTATTTCATGTTCTGGTAAGTTCTATTCAGTCTCACACCACCCTCGTAGCACAGTACAGAGTGAGCCCATGAAAGTGCAGATTAACTATTTGTTCTATCCTGTATCCATTCAACAGGCTTCAGTTCTTAGCAGGAGAGGCGAGGAGATGAGCAAAGGAATTGTCAGGAAAGCTGCAGGTTATTGAGGCAGTCATCTGAAAGCATTAGAGGAACACAAGTCAGACTTTACTGCAGCTAAAGCCGAGAAGTTAATGGAAGAAGGACTGTATGAACAAGACATGAGTGCAGACGATGCCCTTCCCTAATTGTGATAGATGTTTCCCCTTTTTGAGAAAAATTTCTCTATTTTCTTTTTTTGCGTCTGAAGTGTGTATATTGTGCCTGTGGTATCAGGGATAAAGAGTAATGTGTGTGTGGTTTTCTCCTTTTTTTTTTTCTTTTTTTTTTGTGTCTCAAGTCAGTCTTTGATACATTTCCTTTTTTTATATATGGGTTAGTTTTCTGCAGGCCGCTTAATCCTCTGTCTTTTAACTTAGTTATTGTTAGTATCGATAAATCAGGCCCTTGGGTAAGCTAGAAATTAACTTTTTCTTCTTCTGAAATCATTATGTTTTTCTTATTGCAAGTGTCAAGTGTATTTTGATTTTGTATGTAAAGCACAGTGTGTAAATCCTTCGTAGTACCAGTGTCAACAGATATAAACAGCCTGGATAAGAAATAAGGGAATCCTTCACACCCCCTGTTCCCTGCAAACCGAATTCTAGATTGTTCAAATATTTTGACAAGTAGAAAACCACCGAATAAAATTGTGTAGTAAAGTAACTTGAGGTTCAGTGCATCATTGGCTCAGAAAAGGTTTCCATGAGTTCTGAATTTGCTGTCCATGCTGCCTGCTCATTGTGATGCTGGTGCAGCTCATCAGCATGTGGCAGTATCATGAATATACCTGTGGGTGAATGCAGTGTGCATGTGTATGTCCAGCATTGTGTTCTTTTATGCTCCGGTTACTGGAAGGAGAGTTTCGGGTAGTCCTAGGGAAGGGCCCCTACACCGCTTACAGCCAGTGTTGAAACAGTAGGACTATAAATGCCACAAGCACCTGCAGTTGGGCCTCAGCATCGCTAGTGTGGAAGATTGCAGATGACTGTCAGACAGGACGCCTTCAGCCCCAGCACAGTGGACCAGGCAGCATTTTGAGAGAGAAGGGAGAAGGCAGCATCGAGCACAACGCCCATGGAGGAAGCTTGAAGTGTCGGGCCTGGTAGTGAGCATCTATCCCTTTTCCAAGGCTAGCTAAACCCCCCAGCAGCTGGTGCTAGCGAAGAAAGACTAGGTCCTGGACACACTGGAGATCCTGTTGAGTGAGATACAGCAGTTTTACCAGCAAATTCTAGATGGCAGACATTAACAAGCAAAGGGAGCCAATATTTCACAAAAGCTGACTTGAGAAGATGGAGCAGGTAAGAGTAACATCTTTGCTTGATTTACAGATGTGGAAATGGGCATTCTCGCTGAAAATCTGTAAAGACCTGATAACATGGAAGGTTCTGGATGGGTAAGGCATTTTCCAAAATATTTTCCCAGGCTGCATATTGTGATTGAATTATTTTTTACAGTGCATTGAGATTACAGGGGGTGGAAGACATGAGTGTTCTAAAGAGGAAGATGGGAGGCTGACATCCATAAAACAGGCTATTATGAGCAAATTCTGTCCTTTTGCTGTTATGCATTTCGGTACACCCTTACATTTATTTATTGTTTCAGTATCCTTATTGTCGAGAAAATTAATTTGGATAGTTATTAAACAAATTAGGGCGAGGAAGAAAATACTGTCAAATAGGAATAATTAACAGCTAGAGACAAATGCAACACTACCATCTAAACAGCAGTATTAATAGAAATATGGAAATTCTCAACACTTTTACAATCATCTCCAAGTACAAATGAGCAGAATAAGGAAAAACCTCTTTAAACTTACCAAAACTGCTTTGATAGGAAAAAAGCTGTGTCCTGATGATTTTCTAGGTTTTTTTGTTTTTGTTTTTTTTAGTTTCTAAAGGCCTTTTAATACTACCAGCTTTTAGGTGTTTTCCTCAAATAAAAAGTGTGTTAAAGGGGATTTGGAGCAACAACAAAAGAACTTTAAACATATAAAAGAGACTGTTAGATTATTTCTTTCTGTCTTTCCCATTCTGCTTACAAGGCACAAGGCCCCACAAACACAGACATTTTGTATTACCAGAGTACACAGTAAGTTAAAAGTTGGTTTTGTTTCCCTGAAACGCGCAAAGAAAATGTAGCTTTAGCTCTGACTTATAGGTCTATATCCTCCTTTTTTATTTAAGATTTAGCTGTGTAGATTTTATATTCTTAATTCAATTCAATTAATCTAGGTTTAGACCTGAATGCCACAATTATAGGTAGGTCGCTGTAGGTTTTACCAAAGTGCACCTTCAGTTGTTATCTGCAAGAGTTTGTAGACTGGTATGCCTCATGAAAAACTACACCTCAGGTCAGTTTACACTTGATATTTTTAATAAAATGTTTAAATGTGATTTGTGGTTTTAAAATAAAAACTTTTTGCATACAGTGGCTGTTTTTTTTTGGCTTTGTTTAGTTTTTCCTGTACAAAGTTTCGAACGACCTGTAGTATTATAAAAGATCAGGCCTTCCACAGTCCAACTGTTATCTGACTTATTGTTTGATTTCTGTTCATAACAGATGACCTTGATTTTGGTACCTGTTTCACCAGTTTACTGCATGCAGATAATGGGTTTGGTGTTCAAAGGTAGAGTCTGTCTGTGTGTGTGAAAGTGTGTACAGAGGCCACACTGGTGACGTAGGCTTTAGCTTTGATTGTGCCCACCCAACACGCCATTGTGTAGTTTTCATGCATGGTTCACAGTGAGCATACTTTACCCTAGCTAAACAATCCTACTCTTTGTTGTGTAACATAATGACTGTGGTGGGTGTGAGTTCTTCTGCCAGGAGTTTACAGAATTAAAAGATTTAGGCTACTGTAAAAACAAGCTTGCTCCAATAAAAGGCAAGCAGATTATGACAGACTCATTCTGTTAATGTCAAATGTGTCCATTTATTTTCTTCTTTGTAAGCTCTCTTTGGTAAATCCTTCAAGTCTAGGACACTTGAGCACGTGGTAAGTTATGTAACGGCTCCTTAGAATATGGATCCATCTGGCATCAATCAGTTTATGGGCTGTGGCTGCAGTACACAACACAATGTGGCGTTTTCAGAAAGCAGGACCCATATGCTTAGTTGTATGAATAGTTTATTGAAAAGCATAGAAGTCAGGATAAAAATAAAAATAGGCAGCAAATCAGGGTAAAGTTATAAAAGAAGTAACAATGATTGACAGTCATTAACATACAGAGATATGATATATACAATAGGCTTCATATATATATTTATATGTACATACAGTAACATTTTTTATCAATCACAAAAGCAGGTGATGTTTATATTTACAGACTATTGGTTAAAGAATCTGTGACGATATTAAGAGTACAAAAGTAAAATATCAAAAATATTAACATTCAAGAGAAATGAGCAAAAACTATTCAATAGTTCTGCTAAGCTGCTGAAGCTCAAAGCTGAGTGACTACAAAGTTATTGCATAGGATCCTATGATGACGCAGTGCCACGTTACAAAGGCGATAAGTGGCTGTCTTCACTCTTAATCGTCTTTTTAATGCGAGGGACCAGAAAGATGGTGCCGTCGGTCGACTGCTGGAGGGAATATTGGGACGGGGAGTAAGAATTCCCCTTCTCATCCTTCAGCATGCTGAAGACCTCCAGGTACAAGCTGTGGAGCTGCCGCTTCATTTCTTTCAGATCTGTGGTGTTCTTGCTCTTCTCGCTCAGCAGACGCTCTTTCTCCTCCTTCAGCGAGTCCAGGTCCGTCTCCAGGCCCACGATGTTCTCCATCTTGCGCTTGCGGCAGTTCTGCGCGGCCACCTTGTTCTTGCCGCGGCGGCGGATGTCGCGGACCAGGGCCAGCTGGGCCTCGTTCAGCTGGTGCTTTGACATCATCTCGTTGAAGTCGTCGACGGGCAGGTTGATGATCATGTCCACGGTGAAGGGGATTTTTAGGGCCTTGGCCCTCTGCTCGTCTCTGGAGAGGCGCACGTCGGAGCGCTTCCTGGATTTGTCTTTGGTGAAGGGGGCGCTGTGGTGGCCGCTCCCTTCGGCGGCGTCCATCAGCTGCTGCTTTGGTTGCTTCTGCAGCTGCTGCACCTGCTCGGTGGGTAGCGACACCGGAATCACAGGCTCAAAGTCGTCCGGTTGGAAATCCAACGAAAACATCTCTGAGTAGTCAGATTCTGCGCTCCCCGGGTTGTGGTCCATCTCCTCCATGTCTGAGTCGCTGTACCCACAGGAGCCGCTCCCATAGCCGGATTTGCCCGGGGAACTAGCATTTGGACTCGCCATTGTCGAGATCCCTGAATCTGAGTCTGGCAGTTCTGCCGTGGTGCTCTGTTTGCTTCCGTCCAGCGGATCTCCAGGTGAGAGGCTGTACAGGTCCATGGGCGTGAAGGGGGCTTTGTTTGGGATGTCGGACACACTCTCGCTTTCTTGCAGGCCGTGCTGGCCGCCGCTCTCTTCCAGCACGGCGCAGGGGTAAAACATGTCGCAGAAGCTTTCAGCGCTGAAGCTTTCGTTCAGCGGAGGCGCCTCCACCGCCATCTGGCTCATTTCCACGGGTGGAGACATACTGGAAACGGAGCCGTCAAACGTGTTCAGAAACTCTGGCGGGCCGATGTTTAAACCGTTTGTTTTGACATCTGGGAGACCTGCTGCTGGGTAAAAAGCAGGAGTTTGGATCAGCTGATGGTTTGGGTAGTTTGGACTCTGAACTTCAGGACCATTTGGAAGAGGATAAGTTGTGGTTTCCAGTGTGTCCTCCAACTGCATGTTAAGACATTGCTGGAAGATACAGGACATGAAAAATTATTAGATGGGAAGAAAAAGGCAGGAATGATCATCTACGTGTCAAACGTTTGTCTTTGAGTAAAAACAGTGACATGATTATCTGTTTTATCTGCAACTGAAAAAAAGTCTAAATAAATTCCCAGTGGAGGACAAGTAGCATTCAGTTATGTCAATGGCACTCAACAGGTTTAGTCTCTAATCTCTGTTCCTCAGGAGCAAGGGACTGTTACAGTTGAAGGTGTGGCACGAAAGAATAGTGGACGAGCTGGTTGTAAAACCCTGGTGTCTTATGGAGATTTCTATGAAAAGCTACACACTCATTTAACTGTCCCGGCTTCCAGGTATTAGAAAGATTTCCAACTACTGCTTCTCCTCAAAGCAGTTTTTAAAATCAAATTTAATATCACAACTCTAAATTCTGCTTGTCAGCGTGCCAGATCGGTGTGTTTCATCATCAGGATATCGGTCCATGTAGGCAGTGACAGCCAGGGCAGCAGAGCTGGAGCCGCTCCACCCATAAGCCAATGCAAATATGAGGTGTAGCTACGGAAAAAAAGAGCCTTGCACAAATCTTCACCTTTCAACCAGTAAGTGAAGGCAGAAAGGCCGCCACACCCTCTCTAAACAAGATGTCTTCTGTTTTTTCGATGAGAAGTGCTCCCTAAAGCCTAAACAGTGAAACCCAAACCCAGCAGGGTGAGCCGTGCACACCTGTGCCGCGTACACCAGACCGCCGCTCTCACGGGGGAAAACAAAAAAGTGCCTGTCCCCCCTCATCCCAAGCTCCTGCTGTCTGCACATTCTTCCAGTATTATCTGCATCAAACAGAGCGGCGCGCCAGCGAGCCGACGGGCTCCGTGTGTCCTACCTGTAGCTCAGGGAGGGACAAAATCTCCATCCAGGCCTGCTCCAGGTCTGGAGACATCCTCTGCGGCGGGGTGAGCGGACCTGAGGAGAGGGCAGCTGGCGACAGCGCCGGCTGCTCTGGGGACATCATGATGGTGCTGCTGCTGGCCACTGAGGCAGCAGGGGTGTCCAAGCAAGCTGGAGTGTTCTGCAAAACCAAAAAACATTTGGTCTTACAAGTTGCCTTACGAGCTTTTCGCCGGTGGAGAGAGCTGAGCCGCTGTTGCGTACCTCGGTTTCCTCTACATGAAACGTCTCCGCCAGCAGCTGTAAACATTCATCAAACGACATCCCGTCGCCGGCCTCCTCCGTGAAAACCCCATTCTGCGACAGAGGTTCAACATTCGTCACTTAGCATCCTTTGTGGCGAGGCATCTTGGAAAAACAGGAGGGTTTTTGTATTCATAAAGCCCAGGTCTCTGCAGAGAAGCTAATGGTGCACACTGGGCGGATGCAAAACTAGAGACCCACCTGTGTATGTGCGATTCTATTAGATGAGGTGGTTACTTAGCTACAGCACAACAAGAGCCTATCAAACGTGAAGGGAGTGGTTCACCTCTGACATGATTAATGATGGCATGTGCCTGTACCTGAGTAACCTCCAGGGGCGTGACGGGCGGCCGCAGCGGGGCGGCGGGCGGCGGGCAGGGGACGTACTCTCCCGTCTCCTCGTCCAGCTGCAGCTGAGCCAGCAGGGCCTTCTCCTGCTCCCGCAGCAGGTGCAGCCTCTTCTCCTCCTCCAGCTGCCGCTGCCGCTGCAGCTCATGCTCCTTCTGCCGGTGGTTGTAGTCGAACACCTCGCGCCTGGCCCCCAGATCGATGTCCTGCTTCCACAGGATGTCGATCAGGTCCATGTCCTGGAGAGACAACGGCACACTGCCTTAGAGAGAGCCGGTCCTGAAGGGGGGGGGGGAATGGGCTGGGTGCCGGAGCGGGAGCGAGCGTCCCCGCTGTGAAGCGTGGCCCTTGCGCCTGCCACACCCTGTCCCTCCGTATCAGCTGGCTGACAACAACACAGCCGCTAATGTCGGGTGGGAGAAGCAGAATGAATAATAAATGTACTTCTCTGTTTCCTTTGTTAGCACCACACTCAAGCAGAAGCCTAATCTGATACTCGCACCCATCTAATTTCACAGAGGTGCGAGTTCCTCTCTCACGTTCAAACTCTCAGACTATCACGTATGTAACTGTGCTTGATTTTAAATGGCAAACTTCACTAAAAGTCTTCATCTGAAACGTAATATATATGTATTCAATTCAAGTGGACAAGTGTAAGAATACAATCAAGAGTTTAAGGCACTAGAATTGTTTAATAGAATTAAAAGTCTTATCACATATCTTTCTTGTTGTAGATGTCTTCCATCCTGCATTTACACACATTGAGCTTTGTACTCTTTTGTATACATTACATCAGACCCAGCACAGGAATAACTATTAGGATATTTTTGTACAGTTTACGGCAGATTTCCCCTCACATGCTCAATGTTATTTGCCATTTTAAACAGCACTGAGAAAGATAAACTATGCTGTCCTTCTCTTAGCATTTTTCACCATAATTTATTTACAGAAGGAAACAGTTTCACAAGGCCTGAGGACGTTGCATAAGCCAAGGATACGTATTCACAAGAAACCAGCCGGGCATGTGACCCATTTGTTCTCCACACTTGCTTACAAACACAACTTATGAGCTAGCCCTCAATATGTTCAGTCAGACAGACAGAAGAGACTAGAAGAAAACAAAAAAGGGGAACTGAAGAAAATCAAGCATAAGGCAGAACCAAGAAAAAAATAAAGAGGACGTGAAACCATTTTTGAAGAACTGTCAAGATATTTTCACTTTTGACACATTCATTTATTTTATTAACTAAAACTGTATGGGCCTCAAACATAAAAAACTAATAAAAATAGCGGTGGCATATATTTTTGGACACTGTTGACACAGTCAGTGGCTGTGTCACTGCAAAATAAGAACCCACTAACTCCTTGCCTCTGTGTTGCATCAGCAGCATGACCACTAAAGGATTACACATTACGAAGGCAGCCAACAATAAATCACATTCCCCTACTGAAAGGTGAGCACACAACCAGGCCAGAAATTATAGGCTCTGGAAGAATGAGGAAGTCCCCTGAAAACGTCTAAGCTGAACTGTAGTCATCAATGCTTACAGAAAAAGAAAAAAAAACAACTCTTTTGTCTGTTGTTCACAGCTTTCAGGGTCATCATATAACTCTTGAAAAATTCCTTAAAACCACACCAGCGCACTATGAAAAGCAGGTATCAAAGGTGTCACTTTCACTGCTTGTTTTATGACTGTGCCACACACTTTTGTGTGTGTGTGTGTGTGTGCGTGCGTGTGTGTGTCACAAGACATCTCTATCAACAACAAGGAAACCAGTTCAGGAAACATGCCACTTAGATTTCCCAGACCTGTCTCCCTGGTAATATGCAGCCATACCAGTCAAATGGCCATGTACCAAATTTGAAACCATCAAAAAAACAGCAGTTTGAACACCAGTTACCAGGAAACCAGCGGCCATAAGGACACAGTCCCAGCATCTGAGAATGAATGACTTTCCCCAACAAAGACTTCCCCCTGCCTATAGTTTGGGGTTGTTCATTCACCTTTCAGAAGTCAACCCAAAGAGCTCAAAGTGGATTTGACTCTGGTGGTTTGTTACACATTCGTAAATCACAATTCAGTGGCCTTTGACCAGGAACGCTCAAAACCCACCAAATGTTCTTTAAAAAGCCCTCACAAGGCAACTCTGTACTTCCACTGACCCCTAACTGTGACGGTTTTAATCAGACCACAGGAAAACATACAGAAATCAGACTAATACACCGTCATCCCCTTTAAGTGTCAGCACTTCGTGTGGCTCCTGAACGTGACAAAACACGTCGAATGACAAAGAGCCGCGACAGAGAAAACAGTTAGCTCTTCACAGAAACGTCCCATGGCGGTTAGAAGCAGCCTCTCTGTATCTGATAAGGGGTCACATGCCTGGGGGAGGAGGGAGGAGGAGGGAGAGGGGCACAGTGGAGAGAAACCGTTGGAGAGTCCGGGGTTTCTTCTGACCAAACTTCCCCTCGCTCGGAATGAAAGAAACAACGCCGTTTCAGGGATTGAAAAGTCGCCCGCGACAGCGAGTTTTGAATGTTTATGTTCTCGTTTCGCGTGGGCGAGGGGAAACGTCACAAGTGGATGACTTGCAGAAAACTCAATATCTGTTCAAAGTAAACACAGGGGAGACTGCTGATAGGCGCCGAAGCGGATGTTACCCCGTTATAAAGTCTGAACTACGCCAGAAGCGGAGTGTCATAACGCCTCATGTCCAATAAAGAAGCGTCAAAAGCGCACCTGAAGCGCGAGCGCCTCATTGATTGTATAAGAGGGGAAGTGGGCAGGCAGCATGTATGTCTCCTTACAAATAACTCATTCTAATTACCTGTTGAGTGGAATGTATCGCCTCCGTTGCCATCATCCTGGACAGCTGTCCTGCCGTAGACAAAAAAAACGCCTTATAACTGATAAATGACAGTGGTAGTCCCCAAATGGCAGATTAAAATGGCGAGCTGTCCGAGGGCAAAACAGTCCGTCACGGCGGCACCAGCTGAGTTTCGGGAAATATTGCCTCCACCAGACCTTGTGAGCGTTACGGAAGTCTTGGCCCTGCCCACACGCCGGGATCGTCCCACTCAAGGCGGCCTATGAGGCTGGAGTTAACGGTGCTCTGCGCATGCGCGCGGAGCGTAACCAGTTGTGGACGTTTTACGGCAACTCTGCTAAGCACGAACGTTACGCAACATAGTTGCGTGCCTTATAACGTGTTAATATAAAGACTATAGGGACCACCTCTGACAAACAGACTTTTAAAGATACTTTACAGATTAAAGCAATGCGAAAATAAACAGGACAATAGATCACGAATAGAAATACATATTTGCATTATTTGGACCACGCAAGTTTTGTTTGGTGCGCAGCGCTCTCTGCTGGTGAGTGCGGCAGCATGGAGCTGGAGGCCCTGGGGCCCTTGTGTCCCCTCACAGTTCCTGGCACCACCAGAACCTCAAAGTGCTGAGAGACACGTTTACACTCAGTCATTATATGTTATTAAAATGCTGAATTAAAATCAATAGCTGCACCAGCTCCCCAGCAACCCTAAATCGATGCATATTAGTTAAAGAATAGTTTTAGAGGAGGTTATTATGAACACCTAATAACTTAGTAATCAAAGTAATTTTCTGTCTTTTTGTAAGGGATACCATGATGTAAATTCCTTCTTAACTCTAAATATAGTTGTTTCTTGGTTTCTTAGAATCTAAACCCTCTGCAAAAAGCTGAGTTGGTTTAAGAGAGATAGAGGCCCATAAGTAATGAAAAGTAAACAAAATAGGAATGAATGTGTCTTACAAGAACATGTCAGAACCGCAAGCAGGTCAATTCGTTCATGTTTCTTTTACTACCATCACCACGGAAATGTATGAAGAATGAACTTTTTCTGTAAAAGATTATATCTTTAAGTCTGCAACAATGCAGCATGTGTAAATGAGCTTGGCTCACAACACAAACACAGCCCCATACCTGTACAGAGCCTGGCTTTTGGACCTGCAGCTAATTTCAGCTTGGGACCACCCAAACAAGCCTGCAGCATCAGCTTCTTACAAAAAGAGACTAAAAAGCTCCTGAATTCTGACTTGTCTGACCACACTGGACAACTCCATTACCTGATGACCCAGAGGGCTCCAATCCCTGAAAATTGGAGCTTCCTCCAGACAAGATTATCATATTACATGATAAACCTTTAAGTAGTGTAAAGTTTTATATAGTATAAACCGCAACAGTAAATAAATGTCCATGCATTTATGTCAGCTATTAATGAATATTCTTAATGCAGTGGTTGTATGTCAGATCGTAAATCATAAATTGTGGGTGTCAATTTAGGCATGGATCCAGGCTTTTTTTCTAGACCACAAATAGTCATTCTTTTTCACTTTTTAAAAAATGGTTGCGGGATTTGAAAACAAGCACATGCTTAGACAAAGTATCTAAAATGTACTTTTAATCTATGCTCATTACTTGTACAGGGCCTGTACATCTGTGGAGTATATGTTTATTTTGTTTAGTTAAATGTAAAATCCACCTAATCTCACTGACATCTGTGACACAGTGAAATGTAGGTTACATATATCTATTTTTAAATAGCTGGTCTTGAATGGTATTATAATAAAACAAATAAAAAATGGAAAAATCTGGGTATAGGAGCTTTATTTTTCTGATACCAAGAATATTTTGACAGCACCGCTGTTACAATAACAACCTACATTATTTCAGTGGGTCATAAAGATTAGAAATAAAGTGTGCTGTGTGCTTCTCTATCCTAGGTTCTGTATTCACCTAGATTAAAGTGTTCTAGAACAACCTTATAGTAAACAATAGGAGGATCTACAACGATAACACCTTAACGTAAACAATGATAAAGTAATGGATGTTCTGTAAGGAGTCATTCTTTACCATCTTGTATATATTTGGGATACATTATTTATTTTTCTTTATTTTCCAAATCAAAGAACACTCCATAAAACATTGTGGGCCGAAAAGAATTTCAGGAATTTTTTGCCTGTATATTAAACTTATATGGTTTGTCAATAGCCGATACAGCTCCATTTAACATAGAAATGAAAGGCACCGTGTAGTGTCGATTTTTCCTCTGAGCCATCTGCATAAAAAGTAAGACCGAGACGTATTGAGAAGATTTTGAAATATGTCGGGGTAATAAGACAGGCTTAGTCTTGGCTCTGACACCCATTTGTGAAGAACTTCGCACTAAAGTGCAGCTCACTGTGCTACTGCGTGAAATTACACTAAAAAGCCCTTTTCCCCCCTCGTGCGCGCTCATGACATCAACACGCGTTCACGTTTGGCAGCTCCACGTCGACATTCTTCCAGCTGCATATAGTGAACTGCACAGCTCTGGGGAAGAAAAGGTAAAAGCGGCGGTAGTCACCTTCCGATTACAGCGCTGCAAGTCCGCAGACGGACATCAACCACAGCGAAAACAGCCGTTTGCTGCGAATCTACAACCACGGCCCACTATATCCTAAGCTCGCTTTCTGCTTTTTTTTGTATTATCTAGACTATTTCCTCGTGTTGGATTGCAGCTGCTCCATTGCGTCTACCTACATCAGGTACAGTATGACCAGCAGAACTTACCTTTGCTTCAGCTCATCTTATGGAAATGGTGGTAAAGAGTGTGGTTTGGACACGACGCTCTTTGTATTTGTTATATGTGTGCTTTTGCGTTGGTGGAATTGCTGTGAGTTGATTGCTGATGAAATGCCAACTTTCTCAACTATCATAAAACTGATAAAAACTTCTCTCTCCTGAAAGTCGAACGGCCTGTCATTTCTGTCTACATTGTCTTGCAAATAGCTCCATCTCCTTTGCCTGTTTGCTTCAGAAAGTTGCTGGAACTCAACAGGTTGATCTGATGACACCTCGGAAGAAGAATCTTTAAAAAGAAACCACCAAACCTGTAAACTTCAAACATGTTAATCAAAGCAGACATTGGTTAATATATTAACTTTGCAATCAACAAGTCGGCCAAGCTTGAGGGGGTACGTTAATATCTTTCAAGATCATTTTCTGGCAGCGGCTTACATCTGAATTAGGCACTGCACTTAAGCAAATGATATTGATCCAAGTAATTATTTCCTTAGAGCTGTGTGAGAATCCACTAACTTTGCCAGTGTGACCCTTAAGAAGACCCACCAAACAGCCTGAGTTCCTAAGTTCTCAAAGCAAATATATGAAGCACAAACAATATGAAGATGTCGGTTTCCTTTGTTAGTTATATATTATGTGTTTTAGTTGATGTAGTTAACATTTCTTTTTTTCCTCCTTGCTTTTTATTTCTTCTTTAACCAGGGTGCAGGTTGAAGGTGCCTTTTTTTCTCATGAGGAGGATAAGGTTCCACACAAGGACAAACCTGTGAGGTGGCACTGTGGCTTTCCAAATAAAGTTCTGTAATACACTTAGACTCTAATTGACTGCAGTCAGTGCATTACAGAACTTTGTTTTGGGAGTTAATACTTTAACCTATGGAGAAGAAGCTACAAACATCTGGATGGTTCAGTCTCTAGCATGATGCAATAATTCTTTTTTTTTTTAATAAATGTTGTTTGAATAAAGGTTCTCTCTGTTGTATGCATTTCTAACAGTTAATTTTCTTCCCTTTTTGTTTTAAAAAAACATGCTATGGGTATTCTGTGATCCCCAGCACTGCAGCTTATGCTTTTTGCCTTCTTACTATGTGTAAAAATGCTGCTTAAACAACTACGCTGTGTGCCATATGGAAACAGTAGTCACGCTGGTCAGGTGACTGAGTGGAGGTGAGGCAGAAAGGTAAACAAACTGTGTAAAGATACTGTTTTTAGAACCAGTTAACTTTCATCTTATTGCACTGTAGTAAAGCTGCAACTTTAAAGGGAGATTCATTTTGTTTAGGCTTGATAAACGTTTTTTTTTTAATTGACCTGCATTAGTCATTGTCTATTGAGTACATTTTCCCTACAAAACATTTTTCATTAACTTGATATTTAATAGAAAACACAGCACAGCAAACATGTGATGGTTAATATATCTTAAGTCTGTAAACTTAAGTGTAATTGCTATTCCAGTCTACAGTAAGTGGAGCATATGCAGCCAGTTCTCTTTTGCAAGGCATGCTGGGAAACGTATTAAATGGTGCGTTCAGAGCATGCCGTTAACTCACTTTATAGAAACGTGTCAGTTGTGTAACTACAACATTTTAAACCGGAAAAATAACGTTTACTTTTAACATCTTAATGATGTACGACGTACAATAATTACAGGAAGGAGTGCATTTAGCTCAGATCTATTCTGGCCGAAAACTGTACACGTAAACCAATCACATAACTCGCTCAGAGACACGTAGAAAGCGAGTCCCCCTCTTCACAAACACATCCCCACCTCCCCCAAAAGCCCTGTTAGGGTGGTATTTTTGTGGTGTGGAATCCTTCAGAATGTCACTGTCTTGTTGTGTGATATGATTTGTGTAATGCTCAGATCCTCAAGTCCTTTAGTTATTAACTAACCTTAGCCCTACTAGAAATTCTGCAATGATATGAATGTGTATTTTTTGTGTTATTAAAAAACAAAGCAATAAAACTTTGAGAAGCAATCATAGATGGGAAAATTAGATGGTAAATTCCATAGTTGACTGACTTAGTGTTCAATCTATAGTCTGGATGACTGCTTGGTAAAAACAACGTTCGTATATTCTATTACGTTAGTATATTCTAGTACATTAAAATCGGTTTGAAATGCCAACAATGCTTTTCTACCTCTGACAGCAGTGAATATTTGCATTTATTAAATTTCCCACTAAAGTGTTACTATTGTGGCTGGAGTGCGAGATGTCCGACAGTCAGGGAAGGCAGCGCGCTTTCACTGCGCTGACCTCTGACAGCGGCTCGTGGATGGGCTCCCTCCCTTCACAAACACGGAAGCAGCATGGCGTCCGACAGCAACGGCGGCAGCTCCGACAGCCAGCGGATTGCACAGCACAGACTGAGCGTAATTGCCGGACATTTACAGAGACCGGCGGAGGGCTACACGGCTCTCCTGGCCGCAGAGTGTAAAGCCCAAGGGAGCAAACCAGATGTCTCCAGCGACGAAAGGACGGTTCCCAGGAGGAGGTACAAGGCTGTGATGGAGCGGCTGACTACAGTTCATCCTCTGTTGCTTTTGCTTCTTACTCAGTCAAAAAGTAGGACATTAAGGTCCACATAAAACCAGTAGGGTAACGGTGACAGACTCGATGCCGTTTCTCTTCCAAACATAGAAAGGGTTGATAAACCGAGTGCAAGCGGATGTTAGTTAGCCTGCTAGCTAATGTTAGTCAGCCACAGAGAAGCCATTCATTTGCTTTAGAGTGGGTGCGGCGACCAGTTTGGTTTGGTCGACTTTCCAAAAGTTAGCCCGCCATGTAACTCACGGGACAGCTTTTAATTCGTCTCATGGGACATTGGCATGGCCAGTAAGGGTGTGAGAGTCGAGCACAAGTGTTGTCATGTTTACCTGTCTGGCATTTTTTTATTTTACAGACAACCAAGTGTACAAGCCGAAGTGGCTGCGTTTTACATGAGCTACACTTTGTCGAATACTCGTCGTAATGAATGATTCATCCCTCATTTCTCAGTATCTATAGCTGCTTCTGTTTTTCTGCCGCGGTCAAAAAGCTCAGTTTTTCATAATTCGCGCTAGGTATCTAAACGTTTATATACAGACACAGCTGGAGGATAAAACGCATATAAATGTCCAGCAACAACAGTTGGTGCGGAGCGACAATGGAACTTGTGTCTGCTCTGCTCTTCTGATTGGTCAGGAGGGCTAGTGGCCTGACTTCCAACCTATTGCCTGCTCAGTTCCTTCTGGGGAATTGCCTCCATAATTGCTGACATCTAGTGTCAGTCTGAGATAACAACAGCCTCTCCTCCAGTAATCAAGCACAACTGTGAACATCTGGTTATGAGAAATTCATTACAACAATAATATTAGGCATTCGTATGTCCTCCTGACCCTTTTCCTTCACTCAAATCTTAGCACAGAAGAAGACTGGCATATGGTGTTAGGTAGCTCTTTTTGTCTGTCTTCTGTTTCATTGTGCTTAACTACATAACTCACTATAATAATTGAATAAGGATTTCTAGCTGTTGAGCCACGCTGCATTATTGGCGGCCATTCTCCATGTTTCCAATCACAAGCTGCTTCTAAAAGGCTGTTGAGAGTAGATCCTGACTGTCAGGTTGTGTGAGGTATAAAGTTGTAATGTTTGGAGTGAAAGCATGTCTCAGACACCAGTTATGTCACTTTAAAAGGATGTTTTTTTCCGCCACGTCATAAGCTGAGGAGGTGGTATGCACCAGCAACAAGAATGTGCTAGAACTACCACACCACATTTCATGGAGTTGGGTGGAGAGACTGAGCATGGGCAAAGGAAGCAACCATTACACTCTGGCTGCAGATCAGGAAAAAACTGTGTTGTTCTCTACAGAAGAAAACCCCATTGGCTTAGATGTTGTGAAGCCACTTATCCAAGACTTTGGCCAATAACTACCCCTCTCTGATCACTGCCGGGATTACTGCTGTTGTATATTCCCACACCTTTTCAGCTTCCTCCTTCTGGCCTTTGTATTTTTTCATGTTCTCCTCTTGATGTTGTCATTAGTTAGCACAGGTGTACACTATTCATGCCACTTGGTTAGGGTGTTTCATGTTCATCCGCTTATCAGCCTCTTCCTCTATCTGGGCACAGTTCTTGTCTTGGAGAGGCTTATTTTTCCATTATAGTTCCCTCTAAACTATCCCCTGGATGTCAGCTGCTTGGGACACTCACTCACACAGTTCACCACCGGGGGCCAGCTTCTTGATGCATGCACTCTAGGAAATTTTGCGTTTCATCTTAAAAAGTGGTTCTGATTCTCAGTAGAGTTGCCTTACTCTGTGTAGGTACTTAGACATCCTTGTAGTGTCATCATGGTTGCTGTTTGCTTTTGGTATCCCAAGGTATTTATAGCTGTCCTCAACATCTGTGATAGTGTCCTCTCAAAGCTCAACCCCGTCATTCTCTGGATCCTTTGCCTCTGTTGGATGTCATGTGTCCACATATATCAAGTCCAAATGTCATCCTGATGTCCTCGCTGGTGATGAGTGTATCAGTGAGTTGATGGCTTTGTGTTTGATGTGGAGGAGGAGGCTTATGGTCAGTCTACTTCAGAACTGGTATCCCTGAGCCCTCTTGGCTGAAGAGATTTAGTCCAGTGCAAAACAGCAGAAGGGACTCAGAATCTTCTCTGTAGATACCCCACTTAATATTAACAAAGGGCTTTCAAGATTGTCTTTCACAGTCCGATTTAGTTGATGATGAGGGCTCTTAATGTGTATGTAAAATGTGTGTGCATATATATACTCACACACTATTAAATGGTTGAGCTCCATTTGTTCACATTTCTTTATGTTATATCAAGTTAACTCGTGCCAGGTTGATTTATATGTCTCAAGAGTGATTAATCACTCTCTGGCTTCAGTATCTGCACAACACCTGGCATTCGGCATTCTCTGATAAGATATTGCAAATGACAAAACTTTCCAAATTAAAACTTTTAAGGGGGAAAAAAGATAGTTGATTTAAGGAGGAAAACTAAAGGGCAGATCCTGCTTGCAGATGCACACACATGCAGCAGATGTGTTTTTGGTGTATGCACGGAGGTGTAAATTTAAACGCTTCTTATTATTGCTTATTTCTGGAGCTTGCTAGTCGTCTGAACTGGTTTGTTGTTTTTTTCTCTCTGACTGGCTGAACACTCTTTCATTGAGGAATATTATGTTCAGCAGCTATTACACCATATCATTGGTGGCTAGGTTTCATTGTCATAATTAAAGTATGACTCTCCAAGCACGAGTGTGTCGCTCTCTGGGGCCACTCAAATTCTTTATATATGACTCCAGTTCAGCTGCGGTCTTATAATCTTTTCCTCCATTGTATTTGCATCCCAACTGATCCATGACTTACTGTTGGGCTGCCTTTCCTCGGCGTGCAATGGGCAGCACGCCGGTATTATGCAGGAATAATGAAGCGGCGATAATGAAGCATTAACTTTGATAGTCGATATATTGATATGGCTGTTAGCTGGAGCAAGCAGCTGGATTTGGCTGAGGAACTACACAGCCTATTTTCACAGCAAAGCCCAGCCAGGTTGGCAAAACCCCGTCACATTGAGCTAGCTACTTCCCACTGTGGTTTCCTCTCTGCAGAGCAGGACACCTATCCCACTAGCCCAGGATAAGAGTTACAGGTATTTGTCAGGCATTTAAAATAGGCTGAGGCGTTGGTTTATAACGGCGTAGCGCTTCAATGGCAAATGCTATTTTACTGTGTCCCCAGTCTGTGTGCTGGGGATTTTGGTTTTATCGACAGTGAGGGAATATTGATTTGTTAGTGCACAGCAGAGTCCTTCTACCATAAATAAAATGTTTAAAAAAAAAAAGAAGATTTTAAATCACATTTTCTGTGATTATATCCGGTACAGAGAGACAGATCTGTGTGGCAACATTAGAATATGTCACTCAGACATTAGTATATACCACTCAGACATGAGTCTTGCATGTTTTCGTAACCGCCTCAGATTTTTTATATCTAAAGTTAAGGCCACAGTTTGCTGTCCTAACCCATGTCAATATTTATTTTTCCACAGGCAGGAGATTATGAAATGGAACGGCTGGGGCTACAGCGATTCAAGATTCCTTTTCAATAAGAAAGGCCAAGCAGAATTTACAGGCAAAAGGTAACAATATTGCACACTGCTGGCAGGCACTACTGGCTGCTAGCAGTTGGTGATTTAAGGATATCAATTACATTCACTCGCTTTAATCTTCTTTTAGGCACTGCATTAAGCTTCAGGATTCATTTTGTTGGTGTGACTTGAGGCAGGAATTATGCATCGATTTCCTTCACAGCTCCTACTTTGAACCCAGCGTTAGAAGCCATTTGTGGTCTCCTTCCTGCTCTCACAACAACGTGGTGCTTCTGCCACCTAGTGGTTGGCATTTAAACTGCTGCCTGACATCCGAGAAGGTCATTCCTAGTGATTTCAGGCCTTTCCCAATGCTGTTGCTCATTAACGGGAGCAACTTCCCGGTCTGTTCAGAGTTGATCATTTTTACGGCGTTGGAAAACGTTTAACTTGCAGAGTGTAGTAATAAAGGCCTTATTTGACTGGTTGCAGGTGTTTAGAAACAAAACCTGTTACTTTCAGTCTCCTCTTTTCAAACGGAAAACGTTGCCTTCCATTCCATTACCAGAGCTGTAGGTGGTTAAAGTTTTTGTAGTCAGCATGTAGACAGTGTACATGAGGATGTACTTTGACTAATTAGCTAAACAGGATGTTGTACAGCAAATTGCTCCCTCCTGTTCTAGTACTTGCTACAAACTGCGCCTAGCCACCGACATTTTAGCCAACAGCCAAAGCTGGGGGTGAATAGATGGCGTTCTGCTCCTTTAAGCTCGCTGTCTCAAAGGGCTTTTCTTTATTCTGCGTGTTTCACTCTGCCTTAGACAAAAGCACAGCGCAGCTCCTTGATGGGCTGGCCCAGTCGGCTCCAGCAGCTCAGTTATGCCCGAGATTGTGAAGGGCGATCACAGGAGGCGCAGTGTCACTGTGGCTCTGTCTGAAAGTCTCTCTGGACCTCAGGCTGCGATCCTATGAGACTCAGATCTGACTCAATACCGCATCCAGATATTTTCAATTGAAACTGTTACCATTGTGGCTTGAATTTGGGAGATTTTCTTCAAAAAATCCCAACTCTCTTTTCTAATCCAGGTATAGACTGAGTGGCATGATCATACCCGGCCTCAGAGACTGGATGGAGAGCACGTTTGGTGCCAATCTGCAGCATAAAACTCCGGCAGTTGTGAGTGCAGTCCGTGCTTTTTCATTGTGTCTGCAGTAAATGAGAGGATGCAAACATTTTGCCGCAGCGTGGAAACCACAATGTTTGTGCTTTGTTTGATTCAGCCGGTTCTGAACAGCAGCGTTGTCCAGCCTCCAACTCTAAATGAGGCCTTTGTGGGGGAACTCAAATCCACAGGTATTCCATTCTCTCATGATGTGGAGGATCGGGTGTTCCGTGCTCACGGTAAGGCAGAACTAAAAAAGCAAATGGTGCTATTTCTTTTGAATAAAATGCTTGTATAAGCCAGTGTAAAGCAGTTGGGAGCTTCTTTGAAATTGTGCATTTTCTTGCAGGCCACTGTTTACATGAGATCTTTGCTCTGAGAGAGGGGAAGATTGGCCGTATTCCGGATATGGTGGTTTGGCCAAGTGAGTTTAGAAGCTGTCTAACTGCTGTGAACACCCCCCCCCCCCTTAAACCGCTCTGTTTTTCTCCTCCCATGTAGCATTACTGATCCTCCCACTGGCTTAGATGATTTAAAGGGTTAATCTCTGCAGAGGCAGGGATATTAATATGTATGAGTGGAAGCTTAATAAGAAGCGTCAGGAGGAGGATGGGTGACACCCTATACTCCACAGTCTGGCCCTGCACAGTACACCCATGAATTATGATTCTGAGATTGGTTTTCTCTTGTTATGGCTGGCACTATTTTATCATGCAAATGAGTGTTGACTGATGGGTGAAACTTGATTAGCAATCTCCCAAATGGGCAGCAAATCAGCAAGCAACTGTAGGCATATTCGCATCCACGCTGGCACCAAATTTGAACCTTCCCAACCAGGCAAACACGCTAGTTTATTATGTGTGTATAATAAAAAAAAGTATCTATAATTTGCATTCCTCAGTTGTCCTTCAAAGTCAAACTGTGTATTTTAAGTGGACGCTTGGGTTGTTGGGTTTTGATCTGTTAAAAAAGCAGCATATTTGATTTGGGGAAAAAAAAAAAATATATATATAAAATGAAGAAGCCCAAGAATGTGAGCATTTCTCACTGCCTCATAAAGCACTCGAAGCCAGTGAAGCACATCCATGTGGGTGGGTATTCCTGCTCTTCCCACTCGCTCACCTCTCCTGTGTGAATGGATGTGGGCCCAGTGATTGGTTGGAATACATCTGTATTGATCCAGTACATCCCACCCAGGAGAACAGAGCTTCACGCAGTCTGACTCTGCCCGAGGAAGGCCCCAGGCAAAATCAGGATCCAGCCAGCCTCTCTGTTTGTCCCCCAGCTCTAATGGCACAAGTGATATATGTACAGTAAATTTATGTGCAGTGTGTCCTACACACAAGTCATCTCCATCCACTCACACACACGGTGTTTTGTGTATGTTGAGGTGCTTTATGAAAGATTTCTTGTGTCAATGTTTGCCTGGTTTATTAAAACGTGTGTGTTTTTTCAGACTGTCACAATGATGTTGTGAAAATTGTGGAGCTGGCGTGCAAACACAACGTCTGTTTGATACCATACGGAGGTAAGCCTGGCCGTAGACGCATTTTAATTTGCCAGGGGCCTTTAAACTCTCTGGCTGCTCTGTGTAGGAGTGTGTTGGTGTTAGAGACATAAAAAGAGGAAACCGGCCAGCATGGTGGCATGGCCTGCCTCAAAGCTTTTCCACTGTTAACTACCGCAGACTTTTGTCGTGCTGTGATGATTGTACATCATTGTCTTAGCTCACTGGGCTCTTAATGAAACTGAGACATCATTTTTTTGCAACCTGAGCTCCCTTCAGTTTGACAAGTCAAAATGTGAGCAAAGAGCAAAAGTGATCTCCTCTGTTTTTTGTTTTGTTTTTTCGCTCTGTTTCTTACTATTAGGGGGAACAAGCGTCTCGAGTGCCCTAGAGTGCCCCCCAGAGGAAACCCGATCCATTGTGTCTTTGGATACCTCACAGATGGTATGTAAACCTCTCTGCTGTACATGCTGGTAGATGAGAATGGATGTCAAACTAAGTGAAATGGTCAGATATGAGTACTAATAATTAGCATTAATGTGGAATTTGAAAGGTCAGCTTTTTGGTTTTGGTTTCTTTCATGGTTTTTTCTTGCTCCATTTCATGTTCGAACATTTTCAAGGGCACATTACCTCAGTGAGACACAGAGTTGCACAGCCTCAAAGATGATGCTGGAGTAACTTGCTGCTGAGCTACCACTTGTTGGAGAGATCGGCTGCTGAGCTGAAGTGCCTAAACATTCCCGTGATAGTCAGTATTTCTGTTCAATAAAGCCTGTCCCCAGGGTGGAATACCTATTCATGATAAACCAAACAAGAGCTCCCTGTTTCTACATTATGACTGTAAGAATTGTCTTTTTTATTTTTTTTGTAGAAGACTTTGAATTAATGATGGTGCAACTGGAACTTAAGTGTTTCATGAGACATAAAATTTAAGAGGAGGTCGAGCAAGTCACCACGACTATGATGATGTTTCATTGGGTGGAATATAGAATGCTGAACAGTATAGCACAACCCTTTGATCCAGCCACATATACAGGTGATATACAAGCTGTCCGGATGCTGCGAGCCTCACCGGTCATTGAGTTTGATGCTGTGGGCATAACTGACCAGTTTTTCTATGTCCAGGGTCAGAGGTTAGGTGGCTCCAATGGAAACACATGAAAGGAGCAATGCGATAGGAACATAAAGTTTATTACCTCAGGGGGAGTAATTGATGGCAGGTATGACATGACTTCCTGCAGGTAAGGGAGAGCCGCGTGCCCGGTGGATTAAACAAGAGGAATACATTTGGAATGACACGTTAACCTCATGTAAAACGACAACTCTGCGTGTAATTAACCCGAGATTCTGGTGGGGTAAAAAAACAAAACAACTTACAGTGTCCTAAGATCACTGTAAAGGGACTGTGTCCTCAAGCAGACGTAAACAGAGCTGGAGTACAGATAAATGGCATGCTGATGGATAACACTCACAGGGAGATCTTGTAACTTACATCAAACCTGTGGAATTGCTCAACACAAACAAACGGCATTAGTCACCATCTTTAGTTTCTTTCGGGCCATAAAGCATTTAATTAGTGTGTTTATGACTTACTCAGTCTTGTTTGTTTTTTTTCTTTTTCATTTCTGTTTAACAGAACCGCATTCTTTGGATTGATGAGAAAAATCTAACTGCACACGTGGAGGCCGGCATTGTCGGCCAGGATCTGGAACGATTGGTAAGCACAAAAAATGAGGCGTCCTGACTATTGTCATGGGCTTTATCATGCCCGTGTCACCTTGATACTCTTTGGCCAGTCAATCTAACGTGGGTTTGGAAAAGGAGTTTGCGATAGGAGTACGGTGGTGAAGGGGGTAGATTAGAGAGTGAGATGGTGGTCATGAGCAGATGGCACCATCAAGCTAATTCAGAAAAATGGAGAGGGAGCGGGTGTTTGATGTAGAGGAATGCGTGATCTGCATCTAAAGCAGACTCCACCTCTGCATTTAGACTGGGCAGAGTTGACGGAGCAGATGGGTCTGAATTATAAACTGCCTTCCCGAGGACTGTGTGGTAAATCCAGGCCTGCCCTCCCTCTTGTGCTCCTGGGGGGCATTGTTCTCGAACTTTAAAATCTTTATTATCATTATTGTTACATGTTTTGCCAAAAAGATTCTGTCTCCAAAAATAATAACACTGCCACGAGGAGAATGAATGTGCTTCTGATGACCTGTATACATATTCTCCTCAAAGCCTGAGGGTGTTTATCCTCAAAATATCCTTTTTAATCATGTGATCTCTGAAGTACATTGTGCTGGACATGTTGACCATTCCACTCTTCTTCATGGTATTTGGTGCAGTAGGTGGGGCTGTGGACACCAAATGTGCAGCATCACAATAGTTTTATGCAGTTTCTATTTAATTCATAGCTTCTAAAAGCATGGAAAGGATTCTGCTGTTTTTAACCCATCCTAAAACTAAAACATGTCATTTAGAAGAGTTCGTTTGAGTTGACACATGCCAATGAGACAGACTGAGTGATGTTTGACACTAGCAAATAATGCAGATCCAGATGTTTTGTTCTCCTTCCACTTGGTTTATTTTAAGCTCTTGTAAAAATCTGCAAAGCCATAAAACCCTCTCCTTTTTTTTTACATTGCAGTATAACTGAAGCAATGAAATGCAGCAGCTGAGCTGCAATTATATTTTTCCCTTTGCTTGCTCTTTCTTTTCTCTTGTTATTAAAACATTCTTGTGGGCTTACGGCATCTGTGTTTTCCAAACATTTTTGGTTCTTTTTTTTCTCTTTTTTTTTTCTCACCACCACAACAAACACATGCTGTCTTGTCCTTTTATCTCAGCTTAATGAGAGCGGCTACTGTACAGGACACGAACCAGACTCCATGGAGTTCAGCTCCCTGGGGGGGTGGGTAGCAACTAGAGCATCAGGCATGAAGAAGAACATCTATGGCAACATTGAAGACCTGGTGAGTCACAAACCCTCTATTTAACTCTCCTTCTTGTTTGATCCACACACCCAGTGCGAGGGCACACAAGTTGGTGCGCAGCAATTAGAGGGAAAGTTATTAGCTAAAGTTTGGCAGAGTTGACTAACAACTCTAAAATATAGTGACATCAGCGGCAAAACGTCATATCCGTGTAATGATTTTACAGGAGACAGATGACACAGCTGTTTCTTGTTTTGCTGTGCTGCCACTCAATAGGTGATCCATGTGAAGATGGTAACTCCACGGGGTGTGATTGAAAAGAGCTGCCAGGGGCCACGCATGTCCACGGGGCCAGATATCCACCACTTCATCCTGGGCTCAGAAGGTTTGCGCGCTCTCCTCTGATTTCAGCGCACCGCAGGCTGCAAACACATGTACAGCCGTGCGGACTGGTGTGTTAGTGTGGGATTTCAACATGTGGTGTTATTCTGATAAAAACCTGGACATCAGGACAGTTCTCAAGCTCATGATGCTTACATTTTAACCAGCACCGGTCAGCATCAGATCTGTAAGTGTGTTGGTAAGGAACCAGCTAGTGTCCGCTGCACAGTATCTGCAGCGTCCTGTCCTTGTGAGTGCCCGCAGAGAATACTGCCATATGCCAGGTTCCCCCCACGTAATGAGGGGGTTCAGCGACTCTTGGCACCGCTGTGTTAAACAGCTGTGAGTACAAACTTTATATTGGCCCTACAAAGCTTGGCAATCTGCTCCCTGGCTGGGCTGGGATCGCAGCAGAACTCTGTTTGTGATCATCTGGATGTGATGGCACTACCTAACTCAAATGAGTTGATGAGATCAAAATGCGCCATCTTTAAAAATGCATTTATTCTTTTTTTTCCTTTTTTTGTTGACTATGCAGCTTTATTCCGAGCTGTGTCATAAAAGCCACTTTGTAACTGTCACCTTAGAAAAAGTGGTCAGGATCAGGCTGGATGTTTTGCCTTGATTCAGACGCATGATTTTTAGGGTATTTAAGTTGGTATTCCCAAAGCTACACGTCCCTGAATGAAACATGAACTAACAGTGAACGGATGATCGTGATAATGCCATCTTAAGTTTCTATTTATTTGGACAATTTAAAGTGTAGTGTACATGAGCAACATTGATATTTTTCTCATGAGTTGATCGGTTATATATCAGCTCCTGTTAATCCGCTCATTTGTAGTGCTACAGCTTTAAAGATCATATGCATGGACCTATTGTGCTGTAAAGTATTCTTTTTTTAATTTCCATTTGTGTTTGATCAGACCTCCCGCTCACCTGAACACATTGTTGAACAAACACAAACAGCTTCCATAATGCTTTCTAAAAGAACAGTCATACATCAGGATACCCACGCGCATACCTCTTACAAAGGGGTTTTCATAAGGTGGTCCATAAGTCAAATCCAGGCTTTGAGAAGGAAGCAGTTAAGATTAATAGAATCAAAGATAGAGATTGCTGCTAAGTTTCAGAGCACTGGGGAGGACCACACATCTCTGGGAGTTCATGCTCATCTGGGGGACAAACAGTGGAACAAAGAGGTCAGCCTACCACGTAGTCTCATTAAAATGATCTGCCTCCTCAACCCGAGCACCCCATCTTGCAGTCTGACAGTGGGCCACATCAACAACAGCAAAGCGCCACTTAAAAAAACCCTCAACTATGTTCTGCATGCTAAGTTCAGCACATCAATTTTATTAGGAATTTCTGTGAGGCCTCAAGCTTCTCATTATCTGCACAACAACAGGGTCTATCTCACTATCTCTATGACCTTGAAGTAGTCTGAATGCAAAGCGTGTTTTTCTGTTTGATTCAACCGGTGTAGGGAATGATTGGGGGGGATCCATGATTATCCCTCTGCGTTTTAACCTCCCCCCCACCTCCATAAAAAAAATCCAGATTTTATTGTTACTTAATGTTGCTGTCAAGGTGGCAGACAGAAAAAAAATACTCAAGCTGCACAGCATTATATCCTAATAGTGTTTTTCTGATGTTTCTATTCCTGTTACCTCTTCTCCATTCTCACCCGCTCGCCCTCCCTCACGATGTTAATGCCTAGCTCCTCTAGCTCCATCTCCCTTCCAGACTACCATATGCTCTCTTGTTCAGTGGCTCCTCCTGCATTCCGCTGAGGAGGGAGGAGTCTTTCTTGGGTGGACTCACGTGTTTTCCAGCGGACCAATATCGAGCAGAGGGTGGAATGTAGTGTCACAAGTGAGGGTCCAGTAGGAGCCACTGATGAACAATAGTGATGTATTGCATTAGGTCCGTTTTTAGGAGTTTTTTTAATTCTTACTTTGAATTGCTTAGAGGTAACGACAATCATTTATTTAATGTTGTCTGGCTCAATCAGGTACTTTCTGTCAAATAAAATAAACTCTTAGGTTTTTGTGATTTAAAACAGTAAAAAGCAGCAAATCTTCTCATCTGTAAAGTTTGAAATGGGAATAGAGGGATAAGCAGAGACGGGTTTTTTTTTTTTAATCATGGAAGCTATTCTAGTTTGCAAAGCTTTAGAGGCAGGATCCACTATTATCCGTCCATCTCAGGGTTAGGGTTAGACAAATATGCCTAATGACAATCACCGTCTCAGCCAAGGGCCATGTGTTTGGGGGGGGTGAACAAGAGTCGAAGACTCCCTTTAGCTTCTAACTTCTCTGTGGGAGGTCATCGTACGTACAGTTATAGCCCAAGTCAATGCAAAGACTTATAAAACCAGGGTTTTTATTAGAGAAGAGTAAAAGTGACAGCAAACCAACAGTAATTTAGAGTGGGCTGCTTTGATTTATTTATTTTTTGTGTGTGTGTGTCATTTTCAGGAATCAGAGAACACCGTCTGTGTTCATTTTACGATAGCCTTTATTTCAGACCAGTTTGGTTGAACATAGGTTTACATGCATTTTAAAAGTCCAGTTTTGACACAATGAGTTTTTTGCCTCTGTTTTGTTTGTTTTTTTTGTGTCTTCACTGATAAATTATCCACATTTCTCTTTATGCCAGCACTGGAAATAAAACCCTTTCCACAAACAGAGTACACAAGCCACAACAGTGACGTGGAAATTTAGGATTCTTTAAAAAAAAAAAAAGAAGTATTTGCTTGAAAAAAAAATTTTTTGTCAATAGTAATTGAGTTTTTGGGGATTTAATATTCTCTATAAGTTTCTAAAGCTTTTGATATCAAGTTTCTGGGTTTATTTTGGGTACAAAGTGGTCTGATAACATTCCCTGCTGTGAACCTTTAACCATACAAGCTTTCTTAGTTTAATAAGTGATAGGTCGAGAGTAGACCCTTCTTTTTAAACAACCATTGTGAGTCCTCCTGCAGCAGCAGCCACTAATGGCTGGCAGTTGTCAGGGTCGTAATGTCAGCCAGAGGTTTCCTTCTACCTGCACAAACATTGCTGCTGTTGGCCCTGGTGCCTTTGATAGTGCCCTGCTTTATTTCCTCTTGCTGCTGCACTGATAAATCTTAGTTGTCCCCCAGTGTGAGGTTGAAAACCAGATCTACTATGAAACGTGAGACAGGGGTCACGTACCTGACCCTCAGGACTTGTACCAGAGCCCTTTTAAAAGCTCTTTACGGTCTACTCTGAGAAACGCAGGTCATTGAAATGGTGGGAAATGATAAACCTCTTTTCTTTGGCTTTCTACAGGAACCCTGGGTGTGGTTACCGAGGTAACAATGAAGATCCGTCCCATGCCAGAGTATCAGAAATACGGCTCGGTGGTGTTCCCCAGTTTTGAGCAGGGAGTGGCCTGTCTAAGAGAGGTTGCCAGACAGGTATCGTGTTCGTCTGTGCTGTCTCACACTCTCTTGAAAATGATATAATGAGTAAAAAAAAAATCTTATTTTAAAGCTCTCAACCTGTTTTAAATTTATGTTAGTCCAAATTGAAGCTGTCCCAGAAGTCAGACCTATGGGCAGATCTCTGTGGCAGTGTTTATTATGTCTTTTGGTGATATATGGTAGGTTGGCTGTTTTCCACTGTTTACCTCAGAGCCGACACACACCAAGCCTTTAATTGTTTCATTACAGGCCTTTTAGCTTAAGAGCTCAACTTACTTTTGGTGCATATTAAAAAACATAAATACATTTCTTCAAAACAATGTCTTCCAACCGAATAATTACCAAAATCGAGTCTTTCTTCAAATAATGTTATTTTCTTTTTCTGTCTTTTAGTTTGGTTTATTGTTGTAATTTCTTTTTTTTTCAAACTAATGCAGATAAACTGTTTTTTCTCTTTTTTTATCCTTCAGAGATGTGCTCCAGCATCAATACGGCTCATGGACAATGAACAGTTTAAATTTGGTAAGTTTTGTGGGAATTTACTCTTTAGTCTGTGATTCACAACTGTCATCATTTCTCTAAGTTAGCATAGCTTTTGTTTGAATAGTGTATTCAGAGGACTTGGACCTGGTTTTTCACTTCCAGGGAGTGTTTTTTTCTCTTTTTCTTTTTTTTTTCCTACTCTTTTCAGGCCATTTTTCACCCTTAAGCTTAGATTAGACGGCTTTGATCCAGCAGCAAAATCCTAAACTCAGACTGTATCTTTTGTAATATATTTATGATTGATAGCTAGGCTAACAAACAGCTGCATGCAGTAATGTTTCCTTTTCAGCTTCAGATTGTTCAGTTGAATATTATTACTGCAGCCGAGCTGTGGGCGAACACACGCACACACACACTCACACACACACACACACACGCACGCACGCACGCACACACACACACACACACACACACATTGAGAGAAAGGCACAGAGACCTGAGGCACAATGAAAAATAACCCTGGCAAAAATTAAGTAGTTGTTATGTTGAAGTTTTATGATGTTACTGCTTGAGGTTTGCTAGAATGCATCTAGCTTTGCAAGAGATCTCTGTAAAGTTTCTCCCAGTCCCCGGAGATCTCATTAGCTCTCCCATATTTCCACTTTTCACAGTGTTGGCACTTCTTAGTGTTAAGTAGGAAAGATAAAGTGACCAGTGTTATTATTATTTTTTTTCAAACAATACTGAAAACTCATGGCTTTCTATTACCTCCTTGTGTTTTTTCCCCTCTAGCTGTTCAGTCATTTTCTCTAGGATTGTTTTCAGTTTGAATCACCAAAGCAGTTCAGCATCCTGTTTCGATACATATGATGAAAAGTACCACTCAGTGGTAAATGGCTTGTCTTGATCTGTGTTTAAAGTAATTTTTTTTAACAACCAAACAGCAGACAGAAGAGTAAGGTGTTACTTTGTCTTTCTGGATTTTAAGTATTAATTAACTGCTATGATGACTGCGAGAGACCTTACGACCTGCAATCACATTTTGGAATAGAAACAATTAGGACACTAAGTGATGAAGAGACTTGAGCATGGGGGGAAATAAATGAACTGTTAAGTCTCTGTGACATCACCCATGAGTTCCCTGCTGTGATTGATAACCATCCCATTGGCCCCAGCCCCTCATTTTCGCTTGTCCGCAGGCGCTTTTGTGCGTCCGATCAGGAATAAATCAAAAAGTGAGGGTGAGGAAGACGGATATCACAGTGTCAACCCCACTTCCCTTCGGAAAATCTCTGATTTATAGTCGCTGTCGATGGCAGCCACTGGCCAGTTATAAAGTTATTCAAATGTTGCCATTTATATTTCCTTCTTTAGTTTGAAACCTCAAATAAATCCGACTCGCTTGGCCTCTCAGAATTCTGGGGGATTCAGATTGCATCAAGCCTTGTCTGAATTGGGAGAAAAACGGCTTCAGTTTTCAAGGTTCAACCCCTAAAACTAACCTCTGTCTTGCTACTTTCACAGGTCATGCCCTCAAGCCTCAAGTATCTTCGATCTTTACTTCCTTTCTGGATGGGCTGAAGAAATTTTACATCACCAAGGTAAGATAAATAAATTACCAACGATATTGATGATAATTGAAAGAGAGTGCCGTCAGTTTCTTGCTGCAGGTGTTTTCCATGAAAGCTGAAGCTCCCTTTTTCATTGTCAGTTCAAAGGCTTTGACCAGGACCGCCTGTGTGTGGCCACCCTGCTGTTCGAGGGGAACCGCGAGAGGGTTTTGCAGCACGAGAAGCAAGTTTATGACATCGCCGCAAAATTCGGGTGAGAGTTTGCCGGGGTTTTGCTGTTCTCTGAAACAAAGATGAGTTCAAGATCCGGGGCAGCTAAAAGCACCGTAAAGAAGCGTTTACTGTTACTTCAAACACAATGGGACGCATTCCTGGTCTCAGTAAGTGGAAGCAGTGAAAAATGTAACAGATGAATACTAAAAAAAAAACACGATTTCACTCGTGAGATTCGGCCCTCCACTCAGTGGCTACCCTCATTGCGGGTTGATGGATCACCTGTGGATGTCCTCCTGTCAGATCACCTGTAATTTCAAAGTAAGAATGGTGTGGGCCATGATGGCGGGACCGAGTCCCCTGAGGACAGGGCAGGGCAGGAGGACACAGCTGGGTAGTGCTCTGCTGATGTGATTGATCATGAAACAGATCAGTGAGGACTTCCAGCTTGAGAGGGAACCAGTATCTTTAACCTGATTTAAAGCTCACAGAGCAGCACACTTGGCGCTGCGACGGGTTGACTCTGTTTTGTGCCATACACCTTCTCTTTTTTTCCTGGCAAAGCTTCCACAAGAAATACGTTTTAAAAAAAGTTCACAAATAATCTTACTTTCATAAAATGGCGGGGCTTTACTTT